GAATAAGCTGGATTAAAAAAATTGATCAGAAATGCCATCATTTTTTACTATAGCTCCTAAGCAGGAGAGATATGACACTCAGACCATGGAGAGAGGCACACACATTTCTCAGAACCTTGATGCACAGCACGGAAAAAAGGAGACCTTTCCATCGTGGGTCTGACAGTCAGCGAGTATCAGGACAAGTGTGTGTGCCGCATTCAACAGTATTAGGTAGAAAAACCAAAAAGAACAGATTTTTGAAGTATATGTGAAAACAAACTGAAATACTTCTTAATAAAGAAGGTGATGGAAAGTATTATTCACAAAATAGTAAAATAAAATATCAAAGAGAAAGAGCAAAAAAATTGGGCAATCATATGGGTACTAATTCTATATTGGCGATGGCAATAATTGGAACCATAAACCTCCATCAGAGCAAAGCTACACTTCTATTATTCTAATCTATCCCCAGGGACTGAGGATTGAGTTCAGTGGTGCCGCTGCCTGCCTCGCAAGTGCAAGGTGTGGTGTAGGAGATAGGGATAAACACAAAAATGGGAAAGCAGGCACTGGAGTCAGACTGTGTGCACGCAGCAGCCTCCAACTCTATCAGATACCAGTCTGTGACACCAAGTAATTTACCTAGCCTCTTCCACCTCAATTTTGAAATCTACAAAGTGGTACCTACCAATAAAACACTTAACTTTTTGCCAGGCAATATTCTTAAATTTTTATCTTTTAACATATTTTGCTGTACTGGGATTAAACCCAGGACCTTTGTACTGAGTTACACCCTCAGTCTTAATTTATTTTGAGGTGAGATCTCACCAAGTCACTAAATTGCTTAGGCTAGGCTTGAAATTGCTATCCTCCTGCTTCAGCCTCCCAGAGTGCTGGAATTACAGGCATTTGCCACCACACCTAGCTATTTAAAAGCATTTTTCGTAAGCCTATTTATTCATGTAGTTCTCTTCAATCCTTTTGATAAAGAAACTAACATTGCAATTGGAAGGTAAAGAAACAGGGGCTCAGAGAAGTTAGTAACCTGCCCAAAGACATAAACAACCAATAAGCAGCAAAATGAGCTCACATTACATTCTTAGCTACTCTTGCAACCTTGAGGTAACATGTTAAAGCTCAAAACTGTCTCAGGCATATAGCATATATTTAATAACTACCAGAATAAGTTTGTGTTAAATAGTCACAAAATCCTGTGAGCTCAGAACGAAAAAATACTATGATAATTGGCAACATAGGTGGGTTGTATAATACCTTTGCGATCACGTGTGCCCCTTTTCACTTACAACAAAAATCCTAATGTCTGACTTCCTGAAATCCTCTGGTCTCTATCTTGGAGTCCTTAGATTTTATGTTATTCTGTTATCAACTGCTGCCTCCACTCCCACTTAATTGGCAAAGTACTCTTTCAAGAAACATTTTCATCACTTATTCCCTTGCAAGAACCTACACCTGGCTATCACAGCAAACCAAAATTCTACCCTGGCTTCCAAGGGCTTTAGTAAGTCATGGAAAGAAAAATGTGTTTAGCTTGCATTCAAGTGCTCAAATGTCCATTTCTCAAATAAGTACTTGGCATGAGTGACCACATTTCACTATAATGAGAATAGTGGTGTCTGTGTTACTTCAAAATGTTGAGGAATAACTTTATTTTGTGCATGTATTTTTGGACATGGCACAACAAAAAAGTGGACATTTCATTTCACTGCTTTCAAAATGAAATAAACTTGATCAGAGAGCACTTAAAGGGAAGAATATAAAAATCTGCATCATTATTAAATACAATGTTAATATCTGGGTACATTTTAGATTTTTTTTTTAATCTTTCATCTTGAAATTAGATCCTGAATCACAGAGAGAACCTGTACTGCTTACAGTTAGAGTTAAAACAAAAAAGAAAGTGAAACACCTTTAATATTCCAGATGAAATAATGTACCCATTTCCAAAAAAGTACCCTTGAAAAGTTAACTAATGCAAATTAAAACACAGGAATTACTGGGGCTTTTAGCAAAAGGCTGCTTTTAGTAAACATGTTACAGAGTAATCACCAGTCTGAATTAATGTCTCTGAGCTAGCCATATCAATAAACAAAAGTAACATACTTTCATTTGAAGAGAATCAAATGATACATGTTTTGAAGACTTAGCAACTTTCTAAATGTTCAACTGGCCCTTCCATTTGGCACGAGGAGATACAGGATTGTACTAGATGTTCATTTAACTTGCTTAGACATGCAAATAATTTCTGACAAAAGCCACATCTGGATGTAGCTTCACCCAGACCATTCCACAGTTGAATGTTCTGGTGTCAGCTCAGGATTTCTGAATGTGCACTCACATCCAAATTGCTGGAATAAGCAAGTCTACAGGTGCTACTACCCATGCAGTAGTTTTGTTTTGGTTTAGAGAGACTGTTACTCTTCCTTCACTTGAGAAAGTTGGTCTTCTTAGCTGAATAAACATCAAAGGGGGTTTGTAAAGTTATGACTAAAAGAAAAAAAAATCAGTACCAGAAGTCAATGTAATTAGGTCTGGAAGATAAAGACATTCTAGAATTTGTTATTCACTTGACAAATATTTATTGAACAGTTGCAATCCATCAGCCCCAAGGGATGGAAAATGATTCTAATATTTTCAGGGATGACCATGAGTCATTTCTCATAGTTTCCATTGAAAGCTGCCATAAATCTTTCATAGGGTCAAGAAAAAAATATGACATTAGAAAGAATCACAAATTCAGTGAAATAATTAAAATGCCTCTAATGGCCAAGTGCATTAGCCAGGAAGGCCTCTGGCACTAAATAGGCAGCATCTGCATTATTTTCTCTCTTACTTGGGGCCAGGAATTATCAGACTTTTCTCTAAAAGGCAGTTTCTCACTCCCTGAGTTTTAGCCTTAAGCAGGGCCAGGGAAGAGAACTTGAAGGAAGGCTATGATTAAACCAAGTTAAGTCCTGTGTCCTACAAGTAAGAAGATGTAACTATTACTAACAATTCTTTAACTAGTTTTACCAGTACTTTGCAGGAACCAATACCAGAGACATCTCCGTAGGAGCAAATCTTTCTGCTGAGGGTATGGGTCCTTTCACTGCTCTCTGCAATTCCCCTAAGGGCATAAAGAATCAGGTATTCAAAAGTGGAATCTCATGAGGCAAATAACTCACTGTGCGTATGTGTGAACAGAAATATGCAGCGAGTTCATTTTCCAGGTACGTTCCAACACTATGTCATGACTTTGAAGACTCTCTGATGGTAAAAAAAAAGGAGGAATCTTTTCAAAGACATTAGTGTATGTTAAAAATAAACACATGTATTTATAGCATACATATCTACAAAATGGCCAGTTATAATTGAGTTGTAGAGTACATTTCTGAAGCTAAATTTAGCATCTATACTGAAAACATAAAATTGCCAATTGAAACAAAGAAGGGCAAACACACACACACACACACACACACACACACACACACACACGCACGAGTGGCTTAATCTCTATGTAAAAAGTACTGCCCACAGGCTGGGGCTGTAGCTCCACGGTATACCATTTTCCTGAGGCTTTAGGTTTGATCTCCAGCACTGTAAAAATAAATAATAAATAAACAAAACCCCCATTGCTCCTCAAACATTGAAAGAGGAAACCAAACATTTGGCTATGACTTATCTGCTGAAACAAATTTGTGTACTGACCTCAACAGGGCCTTTAATCATCAGACCATAAATCACATCCTAATAATATCCACTGCATTTATGGAAATGCCATAATACCCAAAATTTCATTTTATATCCAGCAATCAGCAAGGTATTTGGAAAGCGTGCCTCCTGGGCCTTACTTTGAAAGATCCCTGCTTCACTTGCTACCACACGCTGACTTCCAGAAAGCAAACCACCACCCATACCCCAACCCCACAACACTAGAGTTTTTCAATCGTCCAGATTGCATGAATTACTTATTCCTAACGACATTTTCTTCTTGGTCATCAACAGGGTGAGGTTGCTGTAGAGATTTCTGGAAAATTTATACGCCAATGACATCCTACTTGGCGCATTTCACGAGTGCGGGGCGGGGTTCAGGGAAAGCTCGTGTTAACCGTGTAAGTGAAAATGTTTCAAGAGTCTCAGACACGGTGTGCAAGTAACCCCTCTAGAGAGGCGCGCCACACAACCCGCAGGAGTAAAGGCCAGCTTTTCCAACCCTCGTCCCTCCCTCTTTACATCACAGCCAGCGCGGTGGCCTCTCCAAACGTCCACATCATCTCCGAGACAGCATCCCAGCTGTGAACCAGGAAAACACGCGCACCCCGGATCAGGTCCCCGCCAGGGCCCCGCCCCTCTACCGGAACCACAGCTTCCTGCCTGGGGTCAAG